ACAGAAATATGTAATTGATTACAGACGTCTTCGTGCAAATTGAGCTTAACTTGAAATCTCTTCTGGCTCGGTAAAACCCGCTGGTTTGCTGCTAAATTTTGACCTTCCCTCTTCCTTTTCCGTCATATTTTGTCCTTCTTGTTGTATTTCTTGTATTTTTTCTTTGTTTGTTTAATTTTGTTTTAAACAAGAGATTATCAAGATAAGAGAGTGAATCCTCCATATAGGCCTTATACCCAATGTAATTCCACATAAGTTATTTTTAGACATTGAACCCAATCCGTTCGCTCGAGAACGTTGCTCGGGCTGCTCACAGATCGCGCGAGAAACATCTGTGGAAGAACTACGTACCACGTCTAAAAATACCTTGATATTCTCTTGGTTTTAAACCGTATGATTTAAAGCCGCTTTGTTCGCCTCTAAGGCCAGCTCAGTGTCACACATATATTAGACTGAAATGAATAGAATTAGGACTTTGACTAACTCGTGTATTTTTAACATTCAATCTTGTCATCAGACGTTCCCCCTTTACGGAACTTTACACCACTGACCAGGTTCACCTACTGCCTGGTTACCCTAGCAACACATCGGGCTCTCTCCAGGTAGCGTTTTACGTACAGCAACCGCTTGGACTCTTCATCGGAGATATCTCGGTCCTGCCTCGCAGTACACTGGCGGACATTGTTATAACTCACAAGTCCGCGCTTGAGTCAGTTTTTGAGGCAAACATCTCTGATGTAGAAGTTTTCTTCAAACCTGCCACACCGACCATGTCACCAACAGTGGGACCAGATGAGCCAAGCAATGCTTGGAAGTGGGCTGCCATTGGTATTGGTGTAGGATTGGTGGTGATCATCTTGATTATTTTGATCGTGTTCTGGCGGTAAGATATAATTAACTCTTTGTTGACTGTGTGTGATACTTTGGAAGTCAACGGAATATCGACAGTAGTCAGCTACAGTGTATACGACATTGCATGAATTTATCGTTTATTGTTAGCCCTGCCAGAATGTCTCGTGGAGGCACGGTGACCTCATAGTTAGTGTGCTTGATTAATGATGGATCGAGTGGTCCAGGT